CCCCAAAACCCCAAAACCCCAAAACCCCAAAACCCCTTTAGACTAAGGTAGGTGGAATCTAGCTTAGTGATTAAAAATTTATCATTAATGAATTGTTTTGAATGTTAAAAAAGTTTATTTTTTAATAGGACTATCATTAATCATGATTTGACTCAGATTAGTATAAATGGACCATTTTAATATTTTTTTTGCTATCAATCGAAGACTGTCTTGTTATGTAGTCTTCAATTGGTCTAGTTGACAGATTATGTATTATATTCATGTAATTGATTGAGCCATTCTAAGGAGTCTCTTATTTATTGTTAATAAAACCCATCTTACTGCATAAAAGCATGAATAGCATCTTTGTATAAGACTTTTTTCTTTAATGAATGATTGTTATTGGAGAATACTTCATCTATTTTCTCATTTGAGACACTCCAATCGTTCTCTGCTACTGCCATGAATACAGCTGTATCATTTAATTTTTCAATTTCTGTGGCAACAGTGTCTTACAAGTTCATGCACTCATTAACTGTAGAGTATTTTAAATTTACAACGATTTTCTGATCATTTTTTCTAATGTATTCCTAGTACTCATCAAATTCATGGGTCCTAGATTTAGTGGGAATTTCTTTTTCCCAGAAAAGATTACCAATTACTCTAAGTAAGAGTCTCTTGAGGCCTTAGATCTTGACAGACTCGTGGTTTTAAAACCAAGGAACACATAAAATTACACCTGAAAAATAATTCGGTCTTAGTTAAATCATTCTAGTGGAGAGTAAACCGCCAAGTGAGATGCCGAATAAGTATTTCTTTTCATCCTGTAGTGAATACTATTATACGACAGCATCAACGAAATCCAATTAATCTTAAACTTAATTGGGTCCTATATCACCTCTATTGCCCTCGCTGCTACCGAAACCTTGACGATCCATTCCAAAAACTCTAAAGCCAGCTTTGGCAAATTGCTTCAAATGTACTCCATGAAAGTCAATATAAGCTCCGAAGCCAAGGAAAACAAAAAGTATGCCCTTGAGTTCTCCTTCGTTTGGATATTCAACTGTGTGAAGTTTCACTGTTCCACCAAAAGAATTGACTCTAAGGTCGATTGGATCTTGGATAGGGAATTATTATTATTCAACTTTTAAGAATCTTGATAGAATAGTTTCTTGCTCTTGGACTATCATTTGAATATAGTGCTAGTATATAAAAGAATTATAAATAATTTAAAGAATCTGAATAAGTTTTAAATATTTTTTAAATGAAAAATATAAGGATTTGTTTTTAAGGATTTCACTAATTTGCTGTGCTTTTCACAATTTTACGGGGTTTTGGGGTTTTGGGGTTTTGGGG